TGGGCGGGGGGGTTTGAGCTCCACTTTGACTCTGGAATCTTGTGGGTCTCTCTCCAGTTCTCCTCGACTCGACCCGAGCTGCCCTTCCCGCAGCAATGTTGTGCTCTCTTTGGCGTCTCCAAACATCAGGAAAATGGTGCCGATTTGGGCACCTGATAGGGAAAATGTCCCTTCCCAGGAGGGCGGTGGCGGCGGTCACCCGGTCAGGGAGATGAAGGGCTTGGGGGGGGGGCTTTTGGCGGGGGGTGGGGGGTGCGTGTCACAGGCTGGAAGCTCTACGTCCCCCAGCTGGCGTCCCGTCTCCTCCTCCTCTGGCTGGACTCCTGGTTTCCCCTCCTTGGCTCCTGCAAGGAGGAGGCTTTTGGCGGGGGGGTTGCGCATCACAGGCCGGAAGCTCTACGACTGCACTTCTGGGCGCACTGGGCACCAGACTTGGGGTGAAAGAGGCAGCAGCGGTCACCCGGTCAGGGACTAGATGCAGGGCTTTTGGGGGGGTGCAGTTTGGCGCCCCTAAAGGCCGGCCCGCTGTAGGTGAAGGCCTAGTTCACAAGCCGGCCCTGGCAGGAAGTTTCACATAATGCACAGCATATTGGGAAACGGTTTTACCTTTAAAACACACTCTGTGTACATGAACTTGGTAGATTTCTGCTGCCACCAGGAATTAAAAATTCCAAATCTCTCTCTTTTGGTAGAATGACCCAGAGTCTGGGCACTTATGTGGCCCCGAGGAAAGACTATTCTGATTACTGGCATAAGTTTAAACAAAACATTCTTTATTTAATAAAGAACAAAATAGGTTTCTGGTTATTTTGAACTGCTGCTGAAGAAAGAAACTTGTAAATATAACTGGCAAAGCTTGGCGTCACAAACAGTCTCTCAAACTCCAAACTCCGTTCTGACAGGCTTAGACCCTCAGTCTAATCTCTCTCTCTCTCATATAGATATAGCCACACAGGCTAAACTGTTTGTCTTATTCACACAGAATAGACTCAAACTTCCATAGTCACACAGACTATACTCTCTCTTCAAACTTCACACACAGAAAAACCTCAGAGACATCTCACCTCCCACACTCTCAGTCATCAGTCACATCACACTTGTCTCCCTCTATCACTCTTCTTACAGTACTGCAGTCAAACTAAACATTTAAAGAAACACACACACCAAAACATGAAATCATTACACACAGTTTTTAAAATGTCAATGTGGGGAATTTCACTACTGCGGAAATGGTCTAAGGAGGTGCCAATCTGTGTTTATAGCTTGTCAGTGCTTCTCTTCTCTTGACTGTAAAGGACAGGAAGGTTACTGTGAGAGCCAGTATGGTGGATTGGTTCAACTAGGATTTGGGAGACCTTGGTTCAGATGCAGTCTCTGCCTTGGAAGCTCGCTGGGTGATTTCTGGCTAGTCGCACACTCTAAGCCTAACCTCCTCCCAAAAGAGGATAATGATGTGAGCTGCTTTGGGTCCTCACTGGGGCGAAAGGCTAGGTATAGATGTAGTAAATAGGGAAAGGCACATCTTGAGAGTTTGTAGGGACCACACCATCAGGTGCTCATCTGACCTTTTTTACTTCAAAAAAAGCAGGGGGGGAAAGAGCCAGAAAAGGGGGGGGGGACACTAAAAATCCAGGAACTTAATAAAATTAAAAAGATGTATATATAGAGACAAAACATATAACAGTGGTGGCAGCTCTACACATTAATTTCCAATAAAGGTTTCCAAATATCTAAAAATAAGCCCATACCCGATTGTCATCCGTATGCCATGTGTTCCAATATTGATAAAGTTCTAAGGTGCTCATGCTCATCTGACCTTTCACTAAGCTGCCATGTGGATTTGCTGAGGGCAAGTTTTATTTATATCCAACTTTTCTCCCTGATGGGGACCCAAAGAGGCTTTTCACACCCTCCTCCACTGAATACAACAACCTTGATAGGGTAGGTTAGGCTGAGAGACTGTGACAGGCCCAAGGTCACTCTCTGAGCTTCCATGGCAGAGCAGGGTATACAAATCCAGTTGCCCCAGGTTCTAGTCCTTCCCTCTAACCACTAGGCCATGCCAGTCCTCAAAGTACCTTGGCCTTTTGCATAGGACCGAATTCCTTTCCTTTGCATAAGAAGAATCTCCCTGCACTCAGAAAACAAATCACTTCAGGGAGAAAGGTACTACTGTTACCCCTACCAGCGTAGATTTAAGAAGCTGAATCACTGCCTTCAGTTTCTGGGGGAATTTAGCTAAATGGCAGGCCTCAGCAAAATGTGGGGTATTAAGCAGTGATCTGCTACCTATGTTTGCAGGGATCTTTCCCTTTATGAGAGCTCTCAATAACCAGACAGTTGCTTAACCAAAAGTGTTGTTTTTATTAAAAGAAGTCCTAATAAAATGTGCACATACGGAAATAAAACACATGTTACAATATACATACAAGGAATGGAAGTACAGAGGTGAGCAGGAATAATAGGAGGTTGTTGGGGGTTATAATTACCATTCCAGATGTGCAGAAGTCCAAAGAGAAGAGGCTGTGAAGGTGGAAAGTGGCCAAAACAAAGTTTGGGGGTGACCTTCCAATGGGCGCCCAGACAAGACACACAGCAGTGGAGTTGGAGCTGCCTAGTTATACCCAAAAATGTGCCCAGAGGGCTTGCTAATGCGAGGGGTCCCTCAGAACAAAGCATTGATGAGATTAATCAGGGATAAAACAATGTAGTTTGGAAACGCTGTATAGAGTTCCCAGGAGTGGACAAAAGAGACCAGAGGTTCTCTTCTAGATGCAAAGTACAGTTTGGGTTGGGTTCCTGATTACTTCTCCAGTGGTTGAAGGACTAATGGACTGCTAATTTGAACTAATCAAAATGGAAACAGTACTGCTTGATGAACCACCTAGGTTTGGGGTGTGGGCAAGGAGTAGAAGATAGGACTTTTCATTATGAAGGAAATGTGGGGAGGAAGGCTGAGGTGAGATTGATAGGATTAGCGATTGAGATTGAAAGAGGTAGCTCTGGGTCGAGGCAAGTCCATTGTCCAGAATATGCAGATGTTGGCAGGGTGGAGGGGGGGTTGCAGCTGTCAGAACAAGATCCGATGTGCTTTTCAGGGTCGCCGCCTAGGCATAATTATAGGGCTTGCCAGTCCTGCTGTCCATCTTTTTGTCCACTTATGTCAAGTTGCCTGGTATATGGACTCCTGGGGTAGCCCTATGGGGTCCACTGCTGATTGAAACGATCCCTCCTGATGGACAGGGGTTCGGCATACTTACACTATCCCCTCTCTTTGCTTGCTGTGCTGCTTTTCTATTTCTGGGAAGTAAGCTCTATGTCACTCTGCTCGCAGTACTGACAGTATGTTTCTAATTCTGGTGTTCACAGCATCCCTCATTCCACCCATGCTCACTGTCATGGCCGACGGGTATCACTTGCTTGTGGAACTAGAGCACCTGGGACCTGCTTTTGAATTCTTAGTACTCTACTGGAGGAAGGGCCAGGAAAACCAGGTAAGTTTGTGTCTCATATGTGGTCTGGTCTTATGGAGGAACCGTGTGTTACGTGCAGCTCTGTTATTCTTTTTCCCAATCTTTTTTAAACAAAACCACAAAACCATAAATTTTGCTTACAGAAAGAAAACTGTAAGTTGTAAATGTCTGTACTTTGGAGGCAGCATTTACTAATGTGCAGGTGACGGGGCATTGAAAGAAGTCAATGCGCTGTAAATTCAGGAGAGACAAAAGGAAGGACTTCTTCCCACAATGTTTAATATTTTTTTTAAAATATTTTTATTGGGTTTTTTAAACATACAGATACCCACCACCTACAACACCACCCAATACCATTTGTACATAATTGCTTCTAAACAGCAACATAATCATTTTCCATCCATTTAACACCATTTCTAAATGCTTCTAAGCAGCTACACAGTCACTTAACAAGTACATTTTCCTTCTTATTCAGACATACAAGCATCCAATAATTGTATTATTATTCTTGCTCACTCTTCTTTTCTTGAGACAGTCCACTATTCAAATTAATTTTACCATTTATACTTAAGGTTATCTCAGCCAGAATTACATAGTTTCTTACTTCACTACCAAAGATACCATCCCAAAAACCAAAAAGAGAAAACCATACTTACATAATCTCTCCTACTAATATCAAATAATATGATTCAGTTGATACTCATTTCATTTAAGACCAAACCGAATTTGTAAATATTGAATAATATTAAATAATCATATCATCCTCTTTAGCTTATAATAATTCATTTTAC